CCCCAAAACCCCAAAACCCCAAAACCCCAAAACCCCTAGAATTATAGTCCTGACTGAAATCCTAAAAAAATTACTTATTAAGTATTCATCTTATTAATAAGTCTTCTCATGCGATGCTTGCTCTCAACATATTCGATAATCTGTTCTTTTCAGCCTTTGACCTTGGAGAGTTCCTCCACTCTTCGAGCCATCCTCTCGATGGAGATTTTCCGTTTAGTCAAGAATTTCTGGAATTCTTCGTTGTTCTCTACTACAGCGATAGTGTTATTTATCTTGCTTGGATCTTAAGCTGGGGAGTGAGTCTAGTAAATTCTGAATCTCTTTCTTTTCTTCCTTTGTTCTCCTAGGCAGATTAAGAGGCAAACATACTTGTAAGAGTTTCTGTATAGCTCTTTCGGCGTGATTATAAGTCTTTCCATCTGGTCTAGTGTATTCACATCAATGCTGGCATCCTTCACTGCTGTTCTATTGCCAAAATCAAACCGTTCCTTTGCCTTGATCTTTGCCATTTTGCATTCATCTTCTGAAGAGAACGAGTCTGAGTATTCTTCAGAGATATCTACAGGTTTAGGCTAAAACATACCTTCAACATTTTCTTTCCGTTTTGACTTAGTCATCAAAGGTGATTGTAGGATATGGATATTCGGTGAAACTTGGTACATCTCCCCGTTTTCTGAGAATCTGTTTGAAGACCCGTCCTTTCTCACGCCAATAAAACTCCTACTTCTCTCAGGATTTGTTTTCAACAATTGGAAATTGGACTTTGTATTGGCTTTAGAGGGAATCGATATTTCTAGAGCAGCATCCATTTTTAGAGGTTTGATAATGGGCTGATGCATCTCATCAGGGAGTGAGATATTTGTATCACTCAGTTCTGATGAAATAGAGCCAAATTGGTCATATTTCCTAGTTGGTGCTACAATGGAGCCTAGCAGTTACAATAAAAACTCACTTGTCCGTTTATTCTGATCTTTAATTTTTATTTCAGATAAGTTCTTCCTCACTCGTTCTCTGATTTTATCTTGAAATTTGAAGCTTTGATCAATTTTTGAGTTCACTAAACGCCCTTTTTCATTTAAATCCCTCTTCATCTTAACCTTGAGCTTTGGGGAAACATTCTTAACATTTCGCAATTTTGGAGAGACTGACATTTTACTCTCGATGTTAAACTTTCTGACCGAGGAAAGTTTCAGAGTGGGTAGGTTAAAACTATCTGCTTTTGAGTACCTCCTAATCTGCCGATCAAGAATAACTTCCTAGAAATAAGCCTAAACAATACCTTTTTAAGCTTCTCTAAAAGTTGGCTTGAGTCTATATTTTATGAATACTTGGCTGTAGGAAGTGGCTTACCAGGCTTTTCTTCATCATCTTGGGTACTAGCAAGTCTAAGGGTTTCACTTTCCCTTTTCCTCATAAGTTTATTTCTGTTTTTCCAAATATTGCTCCATATGGCTATCAATGTTATTTTATTCTGATTTTATGATGGTTCTTCAGTGAAATATTCTTATGTCTATCATTCACGAATTTCCAAGTCTCCAGATTTGTGAATTCCCTCTTCCTCTTGGCCACTGGTGCTATCACATAAGCAGGATTTGAGATTGTAGTGACAAAGTTGTATCTACTCAATGCACTAGGAGATTTAGAGAGAGTTGCAGAGATTTTATCACAAGGCTCTTGTGATTTATTTAGAGTCAACCTACTTCGGTACCTCTTTACGAGCTTCTGATGTGACTTCCTATAACCATTTTAACAAATGAACAAATGTGTCAACCCAGTCAATTTGCTTACTCATTTATATTAGAGTTGTGATTCTTGCCAGATAAGGGAGCATATCCTGGTATTTCGTATTGCTGAACAGATATACTGCCTAAGTCCTTCCTCAATTCCATCTTTGCTAATATTTAGTTTTATAAAGATTATTCAACTGTTTGGATAAAAATTGGGGTTTTGGGGTTTTGGGGTTTTGGGGTTTTGGGG